TCTCCACCTTCAGCCTTAATCCCGAGGGCAGCTCCCAGGCCCTGCACCCCCAGCTCCACCCTGATGACCCTTGGCCTGGGTTCTCCCTGGCAGGCAGGAAGGGGCCACCCCTCCCACTGCCCCCGACCCCGGCATGCCCAGACAGCCTGGCATGGCTCAGACCCAGCCATTCAACGGACGTTCTGCCCTCTGGCCCCTCACAACAATGGGGACTCCAGGAATATTGTCCGGCCGGAGCTGAATCTAAGGCTCTAAATATAGCTCCTCTGATTCGTCCTCCACTTCCTGCCCCTGCTGCCCTCGTTCAAGGCGATGAGGTCACCCCGGAATCACACCCCAGCAGCCAGGCCCAGGGGGTTTCCAGGCCCAAGGCTGCCCTCCTGCTCTTGGGGAACTGGCGACAAGGGGACTGGGGTCAAGGATCTTCCCTCCTCCCTGCCCTGCCGGACCCTTGGCTGCTGGGCCCACAGCTGAGTCCCCAAGAACTTTGCCACCAGCCTGGGTAGGGGAGGCCACGGCGGGAGGAGGGGGCATCAGGCACCCGTGGAGAAAGCACACGTGGAAGGACCGGGGGCCTGGGCAAGCTGGAAAAATCACGGAGCCCCACAGGCACCCGTTTGAAAACGACCTGCTGAGGGCCTGCTGCGTGCGGGCCCAGCGCTAGGCACAACGCCCGGGTGTCCTCCTGCGTGGACCGTCCACAGGAAGGACAATCAGCGCGTAAACAATAAGTGACCACAATCATTTTAGTTGTGACAAATGTTCTGAAGGAAACGGATCAGGGAGATCTCAAAAGCTGGGGGGGAGGGGGGCTGAGGGCCCTGGTCCAGGGAAGGTCAGGGAAGGCCTCTGAGAGGTGACATTTGAGCCTCTTGGATGACCAGAAAGAACTATTCGAAGGTCTGGGTGGGGCCGAGCCATCCAGGCTGGAGGAGGGTCAAGGACAGACGCCCAGAGAGAAGAGACTTGTCTGCCTGGGGCAGCGGGGAGTCTGGGACAGCACTCCCAGGGGCCAGGGGCCAGGGGTCAGGAGGCAGCATTCCCGGTGAGAGCGGCCCCTCCCCCGGGGCAGTGAGCAGGGGGGCCAGGGCCCAAGTGCACATTTAAAAAGGTCCGCTGTCTGCTGAGTAGAGAAGTGACTGCAGGGAGACCGGAACCTCACACCTGCTGGCTAGAGGGCGTCTTCAGGACTGACCCGCTTGCCTGGCTGCCTGGCGCAGTGGTTGAGCATCGACCTATGAACCAGGAGGTCACAGTTCGATTCCCAATCAGGGCATGTGCCCAGGTGGCAGGTTCGATCCCCGGTGTGGGGCGTGCAGGATTCTCTAATCATTGATGTTTCTATCTCTCTCTCCCTCTCCCTTCTCCTCTGAAATCGATAAAAAATATATTTAAAAAAAGGTTGACCCGCTTCAGTCCTCTCCTGAGTCTCTGAGGCCCAGAGAGGGCATGTGTCTTGCTCAAGGTCACACAGGGAGGCGGAGCTTGGCCTGGGGAACCTTTGACAGGTAGTAAGAGAAACTGCACCTGAAAAGGATGTGTCTTTTCTAGGACACCATGTCCGAGGCACTGCCCTCGCCCAGCCCCCGATTCCGCAGTCTGCACTGTGGCCCCTGCCCAGGCTCCTGTTGGGGTGCCGGTGGGCAGCGGGAGGTGTGCAGTCCCTGGGGGACCCGTGGGGGTCTGCCCTGCCTCTGGCCGGGCCCCGCCCACATCCTGTGGACAGGTGCCCTGACTCTGGCCCCTCCCACAACCCTCTCCAACCGCCACCCTCACCCCCATGCCCCTGCCCTGTGCATCTCCCAGAAGCCCCTGCTCTCCTGTTCTGCCAAGAATCTGGGGTTGGCAGGGAGTTGCGGGGGGCCTCTGGAATGTCGCTTTCCGGTGCCAGCACCAGTGTGCCAACCTTGGCAGAGGCCTCGGGGGCGGATGGGGGATCACCAGATCTTGTCTGGAATGGGGAGGCTGGCAGCCATGAGCCACTGGGGGTGGGGCTGGGGGTGAGGGGGCGGCCTGCCTGCCTCGTCTCAGGTGGGGGACACCCTGCATCAGAGCTGCCCTGACGACTGCCTTGCTCTCTCTACTTACCATCCTTCCAGAAGTGGGGGAGCTAGTTCCCTAGCAACAGTGCTCCCCATCACACTCGCCCCTCCTGCTGCCCACACCCACAGTGCCTCCAGGTTTATGCTTGAACCCTGTTGGGGGAGGGGGAGGGGGAGGTAGTGCTCTATGTTGCAGATTCCTACTAACCCTCCAGACCTGGGGGACGGGGGTAAGGAAAAGAGCTTTGGGCTGATCTAGGTTTAATGAGGTAACACCCCTCCCCGCCCCCCCCCACACACACAAGTGCACACAGGCCTGGCTGCTTCCCTCCCTCCTCTGCCCACTCCCACTCGGTTTTCCCATCCCTGACCACTTGCAGTGGTTCTCAACCTTCTGACCCTTTAAATAGAGTTCCTCATGTTGTGACCCAACCATAAAATTATTTTCGTTGCTACTTCATAACCGTAATGTTGCTACTGTTATGAATCATAATGTCAATATCTGATATGCAGGATGGTCTTAGGCGACCCCTGTGAAAGGGTCGTTCGACCGCCAAAGGGGTCGCGACCCACAGGTTGAGAACCGCTGACTTAGGGGAAGCTTCCCTCCGCTGGCCCCTGGGAGGGCCTGGGACAGGAGCAGGGGGAGGGGAGCACTGACTGATGAGGGGCAGGGGCTCCTGATGAGGATCCTCACTCAGGAGTCAGACAGACCTGGTTTGAGCCCTGGCCCCTCCAGTGACCAGCTGTGTGGCCTGAGGCAAGTTGCTAAGCCCCTCTGAGCCTTGATTTTCTCACTTGTCTAATGGTAATAATAGCAGTGCCTTCCGCACGCACGCACGGGGGCTGTTGGGACGTAGCTATTACTGTCAGCATTATCAGCTGGTGGGGAAAAGAGGGTGGGGGGGAGCTTGTGTCCCCCGAAGCGGCCCCAAGTTGTTGGAAGCTTCTGGTGAGGGTTAGGGGCAGCCTCGAGTGACCGGAGTGAGAAGGCAGCCGGCACCCAGACACCCTCAGCCTTTGCCTCTTGTGGCAGGACAAGCTGAGGTGCCGGTGATTCTCCGGGACCCCCCAAGCTCCCGGCTCTGCTGGTGGTGCCGCCGGGTGAGGCCTCCGTTTGCAGCCAGATGCCCTTCAGGCCTGGGGCACGGCCCCCCCCCGCTCCCCTCCGCCAGCAGGGCCCAGGCCAAGATGCCTTTATTTTTAAACCTGAGAACAATGCCTGGCCGCACCGCCTCCCGCGGAGGACAGCGCGGATGGGCTGGGAGCCACGTTTCCTGGGCCAGCACCCCTCACCTTCAGACAGGTGCCAAGGGGACACGGCCGCTTTCCCTCAGGGCGTCTGCTCCTAGAGTGCTCCCTGGGCCCTGTCCCCGGGCCGGGACAAACCCGCCCACCACAGGCTGACGGAGGCACATGGGTCCCATGGGTGCCAGTCCCAGGAGCGGTTTCAGGACCCAGGACACCTGGCCCCGCAGACTCACGCACCCTTCACCCCACAGGCTCCCAGGACCAGGCTGAGCACCAGGACCCCTCGGGGAGGCTCCCGCCTGCCCAGCGCCCATGATGCGCTGCTGCCCACTCCCGCTTCTCCACGCACGGCTCTCCAGAAAGGGGGGAAAAGGGGGTGTGTGCAGCGGAGGGCCATGGTGGGACCAGGGGCTCAACTCTCCCAAAGGGGCGGGCGAGTGAGGGCTGTGAGTTTAGCCCGGTTCTGCTATCAACTTGGCATGACCTCGAGCAAGACCCATGCCCCCCTTTCTCCATTAATCTCCTCTTCTATAATGGGGGACAGCGGGCCCACCCGCTCCCCTCTCAGGGTGGGAGACGTGCTGTGCACGTGTGTGGCACAGAGCCTCTGGGTGGCAGGAGACCCTGGAAAGGGGTGTCCCCGACACACGGTGGTGCCCATGGACGGCCACCGACACCAGACTCCAGAGCCGGACAGCTGGCTGCAGATCCTGGCTCTCCACGGCCAGGCTCAGACTGTGGGCACCACCCCCTCAGCACCTCTGTTTCCCCATTTGTAACCTGGGATCCTGAGGGTGCCTGCCTCATAGGGCTGGTGGCGAGACTGAGACACGTGCGTACAGAGCAGGTGCTCAGTAAGCATCAGCTCCTACTGTGTGTGCCGCAGGCCGAGGCGGGCATGTGCACGTGCGTGTGCGCCAGTCTGTATGTGTCTGTGCCCACAGGCTGTGCTCCCAGCGAGCGCGGAGGCCATAGAATGGGCGTGAAAGAGACGCGCACCCAGATTGGGGTATGGACTTGCACTTGGACCAGAGCCTAGTGTTGTGCGCGTGCCCTGGTGCCCGAGGATGTGTTCTGTTCCCAGGCCTCGTTCACAAGGACCCGAGCCGGCTTGAGTCCCCTCTCCCTGACATTGGGGTGGGAGCACAGGTGTGTCCACGTGTCGTCTCCACTGTCACCTCCTCCTGCTGGGACAGGAAGCAGCAGGCCCCCTCTCCCGGGGCCGGGCCCGGCTTCGGGGTGCTGGGGACCCACCTCAGAGGGGCACCCCTGGGAGGAAACATGCCCCTGAAAAGCTTGGGGTGAACTTGGTCTCTCCTGTCTCCTGCTCATGGCTCTCTGCAGAGCATCCTGCCTGTCACGTTCCCGTAGTCATTGCGTCTGCGGGCTCCCACCGCCCCCACGGGATGGGGATTTTGTCAACTGCGCCTAGAACGGCGCCAGGCACACAGTAGGTGCTCAACGAGCACTTGGATGGCTGAGGAGCCTGGGCAGGTTTTGCTGCTGCTGTCATCTCATCAAGGTGTCAAACCTCAATGCAAATAGGCGTGTAACCTCCGCCTGGGTCAGGACGTGTAACCTTTCGGTCGCCCTAAAAGTCCCTCCGTGCCCCGCCCCTTCCCCTGGCAGCCGCTGGCCTGCCTTCTGATGCTGTGGTGCTGCCCTTTCTAGAATCCCACGCCTGCATCTGAGGAGGTCACTCAGGCAGCCGCTGGGGCCGGGGGAGGAGGACCAGGAGGACGAAGGGCCCACAGGGATGGAGCGACGGTGACAGGCCTGGCTCAGGAAAGGTGAGGGGCACCTGAGCACTGGGTTTGAGAGAAGAGCCTCAGGCCCAGGTGAGCATCTGGCCCTGGAGGATGCGGCCAGGTTTCCTGACGGAGCGGCTGGCTGGCGGCCAAGAGGCCCCTCACGGCTCGGTTGGGAGAGAGATGTGCTCACAGCACATGAGCTCATGGGTGTGCACACGCAAGCACACCTGTGCACACTCATGGCCACAGGGACATACACACGTGTACACACAGGAGGAGGAGGGCAGCCGAGGCGCGGGCCCCTGGAGGCACGGCCACTCCGCGCCTGTTTGCGTCTTCTCTGTGGAGGAGACCTCTCCGGGCTGCACGGTGTAGCGGCCCACGGTTGGTGGGAAGCGGGGAGCGGAAGCTCCAGTTCACGGAGCCTGTCCCCGTCTGCAACCCCCACCTTAGAACAGAGCTGGTATCTGCTCTCTTACAAACGAGGAAACGGGGGCGTGAGGGGGCTGAGCAATTTGCAGTGACAGCACTCAAATTGGCTTTTCCAATCTGCGACAGGTTGCATTTCCCAGAGAGAACCACAGCCATATTTTTCATCCCACTCAGTCTTATAGTGGGACGCTGGTGTTCCTCCCGTATTTCCGCCCCTTGAATCTGGGTAGACTTGCACTTGCAGAAGCAATGTTTTGGATTTTGAGCTAGGTCCCAAAATGCAATGTAGCTTCTGCGTGGTTCTCCTGGGACACTGGCCTCTGCGGCTCTGGGCCGCCATGTTGTGAGGAAGCCCAACCAGCCCACGGGGGACCGGCCACAGGAGAGGCCCCAAGGAGGAGTGCAGGAGGGGAGAGAGACGCACTGCTCCCACCTGCTGCTCCAGCTCCAGCCACCGGCTGCAACCCCGCTAAGCTCATCCCAAACTCCTGACCCACAGGAACGAGGAGAAACAGAAAAAGTATTCTTATTGTTAGAAGCTACAGTGGGGCCTTGACTCACGAGTGTCCTGACTAATGAGTTTTTTGAGATACCAGCTGTCTCTCGGCCGATTTTTTGCATTGAGTTGATAGAGTAATTTGAGTTAACGAGCTCCTTAACGAGCTCGGTCTAGGAATGAATTAAACAGGTAAGTCAAGGCCCCACTGTACTAAGTTTGAGTTGGTTTGTTACACAGAAGGAGTTCATTGGAACCCAACCCATTGCGAATCCTGTCTGGCCGATGATCAAAAATAATCCAGAATCCAACTGCTTCTCACATCTCCACCCACCTCCCTTACCTGGGCCGCCATCATCTCTTGTCCGGACAAATGCGGTCGCTCCTGACTGGCCTCCCCGCTCCTGCCCGCCACCCTGCAGTCTGGCCCCGTCACCTCGGATCAGAATGAAGTGAGTTACTGCCCACAGGACGGTGCCTGGCACACGTCCAGGGCTCAGCGCTGTGCTGTGTGGGGCCGCTGTGTGCCAGACACTGTGCTTGGAGCTGGGGATTCAGTGGCGAACGGGGTAAACCAAGCCTCTGTCCCCAGGGAGCTTATGCCCTGGAGGGGACAGGCACTGAGGAGGAGCAGGGGACATGAAATGGCAGGCAGGCACGATGGCAATGACGAATGTTGGGGGTAGGGAAGACGGATGGGGATGGGGGGGTGCAATTAGAGGGAGAGGGAGACTTCTCTGGGGAGTGACATTTGAAGAGGTGCATGATGAAAAGAAGCCCAGCCAGCCCACCGGAGAGGCCCTGTGAGGCCGAGGAGGCAACAGGTGCAAAGGCACTGAGGTGGGAATGAGCCGGATGCCTGGGAGAACCAGGGACGAGGACAGTGGGAAGTGAGTGGGGAAGTGAGTGGTGGGAGATGAGGTCAGAGCAGCTGGTTGCTGGGTCCACTTCCCTCTCCCCCTTCCGGCCTCCGAGGGACCAGCACCCTGACCTGAGCTGGGGTGCTGCTCTGCCACGCCAGCTCCTGCCTTGTGACCTCCGCCCCACCCAGCCCTCAGCCCCACTTCCCCTTCCAGCTGCGCCCCAGGAAGGCAGCAACCGCATCCTTTTCTCAAAGGCGTCCCCTCCCTCAGCCCTCCAGAGTGGACGGCGGGGAGCAGCTGACCCTCAGCCTGTGGCTGACTCCCTTCATGTACTTTCCGTCTGCCTTCCCGTCCATCACCCCCCCCCCCCCTGACTGGCCCTGGTGGTGCCAGACCCTGACAGCCTCCTCTCCTCTCTAACCAAGCCTCCCAGAATCCATGGGGTTCCCCAAATGCATCAGCCATTCCCTAGGCCCAGAACGCCCTTTCTCCCTCCTCCCTCTGACCAAACCTCAGCTGTTACCTCCTCCCAGAAGTCCCTGGGTTGTGAGCGAAAGATGTGCCTTGCTCATCTCTGTACCCCCAGGGCCAGGCATAGGGCTTGGCAGCAAGAAAAATCTTAGTGCCTAACAGGATGAATGAATAAACGAATGAGTGAACAGGGCGCGGTTCCGGGCCAACCGGTCCATTATCCACGCGTGTGTCCTGAGCATGTGCTGGGCACAGACGCCAGGGATGACTCTGCCGGACAAACCTGCATTCACGTCCAAAGAGCCCGCTCCCCAGATCCGGGGTCTGGAGCAGGTCTGGGCTCGGCCTCACTTGCTGTGTGACCTTGGGAGCCCTGACCTGTGCTGAGCTGCTCCTCGTTGCCAAAACGGCAGCTGGCAGAGGCTGCCCGATCGCAGCGCATCGCAGTCACAACGTGGACTCGAGCCAGACAGCCTGGCTGCCCACCCCGGCCCGAACCCCCTGCTGGCTCTGTGACCTTGGGCCCCGTCTCTTAACCTCTCTGGGCTCCTCTCCACCACCTGTGAGTGCTGAGGAGCGCCGGGCTGGTCCCCCAGAATGGCTCCCTGCGGCGGCCCCTGCAGAAAGCCCAGCCCTGGCAGCCCTGGCCCAGCACTAACCACGTGGTTAATTAGACCACGATGAGGTCGGAGGTCCTTGAGCTGTGCCGGCACGGATGAGGGGTTTGTGCAGACACCTCTACTGCGTGTCAGGCAGGAGGCTGGGAGTGTCCCAGACTGAGACTCTGAGGCTGCTGGTGGCGCCAGGGACGGGCGACTCTCACCCCAGGCTGGGCGTGCGCAGGCTGCTGGTACACACGGCCCCCCTGAAGCAGCCCCCACCCTTTTCCGAACTGCTGGACCCTCAGAGGGGTCAGTGATTGAGCGTCGACCTATGAACCAGTAGGTCACAGTTCAATTCCCGGTCAGGGCACATGCGGCTTCGATCCCCAATGAGGGCGTGCAGGAGGCAGCCAGTCAATGATTCTCCCTCATCATTGATGTTTCTCTCTCTCCCTCTCCCTTCCTCTCTGAAATATATATATATATAGTGACAGATGGTCACTTTTTGAGAGGAACTGAGGGTAACCCCACCATGGCAGACTGAGCTTCTAGAGCCCCACCGGGAAACGGCCCCCACCCCACACCTCCCAGGGAACGATGGACTAGGACCGAGGTCACAGGCCAACGTGGAAGGTTCCGGAGACCCCAGCGTGTAAAGTTGCCTCTCAGGTTCTGGGGCCCCTGCCTGGAGGGTCTGGATGAGATGTCCTCGCTTTAGACAGAGAGGTTAGGAATCTGAGTGAGCTCTGTGCCCAGAGCCGGTGGCCCAGGGCAGCTGACACAGGAAGGTGAGTGACTCGCTGGGACGCGGGACTCTACCCCCACACGGTGATGTGCTCCTGGAAATCACCCTGATTCTACTTTCCAACATGAGTCAGGGACACCTGCACCTCCGGGGGCCAAAAACACCCCCGGGGCTGGCTGACAAGGATGCTGACATCTTCCTGAGGCGTCTGATGCGCAGCTGGCCTTCCCAGGAACGGCTAGTAAACAACCATTCACTTCACTGGGAGTCCCCACAGCCTTATAAAGCCGAGTTCCGGTCCTGTCCTCACCACCCCCTGTGAAACGGGGGGCCAGGCCTGTTCGACGGGTGATGCCACTGACGCCCACAGGGTCTCACAGGCAGCCCCGAGTCTGACACTCGGGTGGCCAGCCCCAAACCCAGAACCCAGAACCTTTCCTGACACCCGGAGGTGACTTTGACCTTCCTTCTGGGAGACTAGGCAAATCTCAGACCAGCACCCACTCCCACTCCCCAATCCCAGTTTTTATTTCTTCTTTTTTTTTTCATGGCTTTACCATCAAAGCAACAATACATGTCCACTTATGAAAGTCTGAAAAATGCAGAAAAGTCAAAATAAGGAAGAAAAATCACCACCCACAGCCTCACCGCCCAGAGACAATCATTGTTCAGGTTTGATGTATTTCCTTCCATAGTGTTTTGTTTGGGGACTTTTTTAAAAACATGGCTGAGATCATACTGTGTATTAAAAGAGAAAACAAAATGGTGGTATCCTGCCTTTTGACTTGCCATTCTATCACGGCACATTTCCATAATTCACTCTCCGTAACCCCGATTCTTTTCCTCTTCTCTGAGTCTCGTTTTTAGTGGATGCCTGGTGTTTTGTGAAGTGGAAGTTCCATAGTTTATTTAGCCGTTTCCTTATTGTTGCACATCTTAGTTAGTTCCACTTTTTTGATGTTATAAATAATATATTTTGGTAGATCTTTGTATGGAAAGCTTTCCTTTTCCATGTATAGGGGTGGCTCCATGGCTGGGATGGAATCACTCGGTCCGTGAGTCATATGCGTTTCTGCTGCGCTCAGACTGTTTTCTGAAGGACCCGGGCCATTCTACAGATGAGCAAGGAGAGGCCCAAGAGGTGCCATGAACTGTCCCTCAGTCATGCCTGAGACCCTTCCTCTGCACTTCACCTCTCTCCATCACCACGTGTCCCTCTACTCACTCACTCATTCATTCATTTATTCAAAGGATATGGTGCACCTACTGTGTGTCTAGGCCCTGGAGATGCTGCAGTGAACAAAACAGACAAACCCCTTGCCCTCCAGGTATTTCTATCCCAAAGGCTGGAGGGAAGGAGTAAACAGGAAAGAGAGCAGGTGCATTTGCACCTGCCTTTGCATTTGTCTATATGCAAATCAAGATGCTCATTTGCATCAGGATGCTCATTTGCATCAGGATGCTCATTTGCATCACTATGATCATTTGCATATCAGGGCCATGGGCCTTCAAAAGCCATATTCTAATCCTGTTCCATATCAGAGGCCAAAGGCTGCCCCTGGACCAGAGTCCTGACCAGTTTTCTTGACCCCAAATTATTTTCTAAAAGTTGGCCTTTCCTTAAACATTGGGAGATTTCAAAGGAGGCTGGGTTTATGCATCTCCTGGACACTGCACACCTGGCCACGCTGGGCCTGATTCTCAGATGGTCCCTGGGAACCAATCCTCTGCAGAGGCATCCCCACTGCGCAGGCCCTGCCTGGCCACCTCGACCCTGTGGCCATCCCTCCCACACGCATCAGTCCATGGGCCTTTCTTAATGTGAGCGGGGCCGGAGGGGCTCAGTAATAAGAACAATCACGATAGTAACACTGTGATAAGTAACGAGAAGGTGAAGTCTCGAGGGCCAGGTGATGGGCCTGTAAGGACAGAGGCCGGGTTGGGACTGGGCAGTCGGGCTCCGGCATCTGGCGGATGGTACACCATGGAAGCCGTCAGGGACCAGGGGTCCCACAGGTGGGCAGACAGCCCTGCCTGGGCCACAGGAGGCTCCGCGGAGCCCCCGGGACGGCACAGGCCCCCGAAGCAGCACTGAGAAATGAACCCGGAGCTGGAAGTGAAGTCAGAACGGAGATCTCCCATCTCCTTGAGCCTGGAGCGCCCTCTGCTCAGAATGCCCTCTCCCTCTTCCTTTACCTGCTTAATGCTTACTCTTGCTTAGATGATAGGCCTCCTCCTCCGAGAAGCCCTCCCCCAAGGGAAGGTTTACAGCTGGCCCCCGATCCCTGGTCCATGGGGCCTGGCCGGGTGAGAGGGACTGGACCATCAGCAACACCCACATCCTCAAGTTCCCACAAGCCACCCCATGGGAGAACCTCACTCCCCAACCCCGACCCCTGCCTCAGCTCTGTGCGGGTTAGGAGAGAAAGGGAGCGGGAACAGTGACACAGGACGGTGGGTGCGGCTGGGGGCCTTGAATCCTGGTGCTATCCCAGCCTCAGCGTTCGCTCACCAAATTCCTTAACCTCTCTGTGCGTTTCCTCACCTCTCACACGGATGATGGCGTGCTTCGCTCCCAGTCACTGGGAGACGTAGCTGGAGCAGGCCTGGCGCGGACGCCCCAGGAAGCACTCACCCTGTTATGAATGAACAGGGAGCACCCACGGGGTCATAGGTTCACGGGGGCAGAGGGGTATTAGAGAGCCCCAGCCCCACTCCCCCACTTTACAGCTGAGGAAACTGAGTCCAGACAGGAAGGAGGCCAGGCCTGAACAAGAGCCCTTTACCCCACTCTAGTCACTGTCGCCAGCTGCCCTGGCCCTGGTCCTGGGTCCTGGGTCCTGGGTCCGGGTCCGCACCCGGAAGGAGTTTCTGATAAGAAGAGACCCAGGGACCCATGGGTGAGCAGCCCCCACCCTGGCCCCTGCCCTTAAAGGGCCAACGTGTGCCTTCTGTCCCTGGCCCTCCAGGGCCTGCTCCTTGAGCATTCACCTCTCGGGGAAGGAACCTTCCCCCCAGAGACCGCCGGCCCTGGCCCTGGAGGGAGGGGGTGGCTTCCTGGCCTGAACAATGGTGCGGGATGTCCCTCAGCCGGCGTGCAGGGGTGTGGGCCATCTGATGAGGATGCCATGACCATTCGGGAGCACAGGGGATGTGGAGATGGGGCTGGAGGCCGTGGCATCACTGGGGGTCACTCCTCAGCCGTGTTCCTGTGACAGGGGCCTCTCACCGAGCCTCGGTTTCCCCACCCGTGAATTGGGGAACGACAAGAGCATCTACCCCAGAGGGAGGTAGTGGTATTAACCCAGTTCTTTCTGTAAAGGGCCTAACCGAGTGGGCGGGATCAGAATTCACACGCAGGTGAAGTCGGGCAGCGAGGGCAGCCACAACCACCCTTGAGAATCTCACTCCACTGCTTCCTGCTCTGTGGCCTTGGGCAGGTTGCTTCATGTCTCTGTGCCTTTGTCTTCTCATCTGTAAGATGGAAGAAGAGTTGTGCCTCTGCAGAGGGGTGTCTGAAGGTTCACTGAGTTAACAGAGGTGAAGTGCTTGCGGCACGCCCGGCCCCAGCGTGCCCATCATCATTAGAACCTCCTCACCTTCCGTATGAGCTTCCTGTGGCTGCTGTAACAAACGGCCATAAACGTAGTGACTTCAACAACACAGTTTTTGGAGATCTTACAGCTTCGGAGGTCCAGATGTGGGCAGGGCGGTGTTCCTCCTGGAGGCTCAGGGGACGATCGGTTTCCTGGCCTTTTCCGGCTTCCAGAGGCCCCTGCATTCCTGGGCTGGTTCCGTCTCTGAAGCCAGCGACGCCGTGGCTGATCTCTGCTTCTGTCGTCACAGCTCCTCCCTGGCTTCGACCCTCTCCCCTCCCTCTATTTTTTTTTCTTCTTTTACTTTTTATTTAGAACTCACCTTAGCTTTGGAGAAGTTATCGAGATAACTCAGGGTCCCGTGGCCTCGTCACCCCAATTCCCCTCATGTGAACACCTAACATAACTGTGCTGCCTAGTGAACACATGACACTGATATACCCTGTGAACCACAGCCTCCACTCAGGGTCCCCAGCTCTGCTACCCGGGTCCTTCCCCTGTTCCAGGATCCGTCCGGACCCCGCGTGGCACTGGTCGCCACCCCCTTCGTTCCTTCCATCTGTGCTCTTCCTCACTCTTCCCCGCCGTGGCCACTGTTGAGGAGTGCCGCTCGGGTAGTTTGTGAAGTGTCCCTCCATTTGGTGTTTTTAAAACAGCTTTATTGAAATATAATTCACACACCATACCTTTAAAGCACACACTTCCCAGTACAATTCAATGCTTTGGGTTTGTTATATTATTAAATTTCTAAACTTACAGTAAAATATATCTAACAGAACATTTGTCATTTTTAAATGTACAGTTCAGTTTATCACCTCTTTTTTAAAAAATGTTTATTACTTTTTTAATATATATGTTTTTATTGATTTTTTTTTTTTTGAGAGAAAGAGAGAGGGGGATAGAGAAATAGAAACGTCATCGATCATCAGCTGCCTCCTCCACGGCCCCTACTGGGAATGGAGCCCCTGATCGGGAGCCGAACCAGTGATTGCTTAGTTCCTGGGTCGATGCTGAACCACTGAGCCACACTGGCTGGGCAGTTTGTTGTCTCTTATAAAGACCCTGGTGATTATACTGGGTCAACATGGATAATCCAGGCTAATCTCTCATCTCAAAGTCCTTAACTTAGTCACATCTGCAAAGTCTCTTTTGTCAGTAAAATGACATAGTCACAGCCCTAGCTGGTTTTGCTCAGTGGGTAGAGCATCAGCCTGCAGACTGAAGGGTCCCGGGTTTGATTTGAGTCAAGGGCACATGCCCAGGTTGTGGGCTGGATCCCCAGTAGGGGTTGTGCAGGAGGCAGCCGATCAATGATTCTCTCTCATCGTTGATGTTTCTATCTCTCTCTCCTTCTCCCTTCCTCTCTGAAATCAATAAAGAAATATTTTTAAAATAATAATAATAATAAAATAAAAGTTTAAAACAAAGAAAATGACATAGTCACAGATTCCAGCAGTTAGGACACAGCCATCCTTGGGGGCTGTTACTCTGTCTGCCACACCTTCCTCGGACCCACCAGCCACCTCACACCCCTGATTACCTGTCTGCCCGTGGACCTGACCTCGGAGAGCAGGGCCTGCCCACCTCCCCTGCTGCTGTGTCCCCGGTGCCTAGGACGAGGCCTGGGAGACCTGAGCACAGGAAATGGCCATTGTAGTCCAAAGAGGTCAAATCGCAGCAGTCTCACCAGGGCCCCCTTGTTAGGCCAGCACAGCCTCAGCCCTGGGCACAGAGGGGCTGGCTCCTCTCAACCGCCTGTGCAGAACAGCCGCTCCCAGGCCCATTTTACAGATAAGAAACCGAGACCACACACACACACCTGCCCCCCCCCCCCCCGCCCAGTGCTAGGGGATGTGGGAGACCCAGGAGGCAGGTGGGTGGCAGTTCCCACCCAGGTGTCTCTGCCCCCCAGGCTCCCCACCATGACACCGTTGGCTGGGAGTCACCAGGAGGCCTTGCAGGTTGCTAAAATCTTGAAATACAGCACGAGCAACTGGTACCTAACCTCTGCTCCAGGCCTCCTAATGCCCGCCCCCCACGCTGCCAGCACCTCCCCCAGAGCTCCCAGGCCCTCCCAAGTCAGTAACACCACAGCCTGTCCCAACAGGGGCGTCTCTGGACCTGCTTCCA